GCTTCGATCACACTGCATTCCTAGAGTTATTTCCTGGATAAGATTGCTTTCTTCCAGCAGATTCCCAGAAAATAAATGCCCATGACCATGTAACACTGTCAGAGAGGTGCTTTCCTTGCATCACTGGCCAGGCCTGGATGCACATGTAAGATTTAATGTATCACATGCGTGTGTAATAGTGTGCCATGCATGATGCATGTGATACAAGATATGATACATATAGCATTTCCATCATTGTGAAAAACATTCCATTTTTAAACTCATGTAACAACATCCTTTTGCAATGTGACTTTTTCCTGCCTATCACTTCTTTCCCAGTTTTTCCCCCCAAGTAGTTTATTTCCTGTAATGGTTCAGCTTCTCCTTTGGCAACTAAGCCTTTGCAGTTTTAGACTGCCTTACACCTCTTCTTCCTCCTCCTTCTCTTCTTTCTCCTTCTCTTTCTCCTTCCTCTTCTTCCTCCTATCCTCCTTCTCTTCTCCCACCTCCTTCTTTTCATCCTCTGTCCTCCCTCTCTTAATTTTGAGTTAAAGTCTTGCTAAATTGCCCTGCCTGGGCTCAAACTTGCAATCCTGCTTCAGTCTCCCAGAGTGCTGGGATTACAGGTGTGTGCCACCACAACTGGCTAGGTTTTTTTGTTCCATTTTTGGGATTTTTAATTCAATGGATTCATTAACACTTTATTTTTAGCATAGCTGAAAGTTGTCCGGTTATGTTTTAATATTGGAGGTATTTGTTTATTGGTTCTGTTTATTGATTAAAATTATTATGGAAATACTTGCATTCTTTAATCCCATCATCTTTCCAGAACTGACTTTGATGTCCGGCCAGGCTTCTAAACAATGGGCATAGAGTCTCCCATGCTTTTCAAGTCCTTCCTATGCCCCCCTTTTGTCCTTACAACTGGTCAAAGGGTGAGGACAGAGGAACGCCAGGAGCCAGACTGGGCTCTGCACCATCAGAACCCCACTCTGACTGGAGTCCAGTGAAAGCCCACTCCTAACACAGGCAGGGAGCGGACATGCATTAAAACCTACAAATTCTCTCTTCCCTCCTTCACTCTAACCCACTCTTCAAGGGTTCCTGCCATCAGCTCTCAGGATGATGTCTTCCAGAACAGCCTCATGCCTGTATAGTGGTGTGCTGGACAGAGTAGTGGGATGGACACTCCATGGCAAAAGGATTGGACCCCATTCCCAGCTGTGGCAAAAGCTGAGACCCACAGCTGGGATGCACTAGGGGTACACTGGGCATTCCCTGAGGCACCCAGCCTCTCTAATCCCAGTTCCATTCACAGGCATGACTGAGTACCAGCTTAGACATTCAATCCTGGTGGGGGCCAAATGACACCAATCACAGGGTTTCCCAGGGAGGTGAATGGGATGGTCTGGAGTGTCTTTCTTGACAGTAGGCCTGGGATCCAGGAGGTGTCAAGGGCTCTGCAGAGAGCCAGGTGTCTGGGTGCAAGTGGGAAGATGGGGTCTCCAGCGCTGCAGGCAAATAGCCCTGAGGTCCCCCCCCATGGGAATATGGGAATGCCCTTGGATGTCAGCACTTAAGATCTGTCCCCACTATCCTTTTGGTGATATCAGGCTCCTGGCCTCCAGATAGGGGTGGCATGGGCTGGGGAAACCTGGGGTCCCACCCCACTAGCTTTGTGCTAGTTAACTGGCTGGGTCCCTCCTTCCCTCAGCAGCACCTTCCAGGGACAGATATCCCTCCTCCCAGGGAGGAAGGTCCCTGCTTCACATATGTGGAGCCCAGGTGTCACACACAGGGAAAGGGTGCTTATGCCATACTTATGTGGCTTTGGGTCAATATTTTAGCATATACCTCTGAGCTATGGCTACTGTCCAGGTGCCGGCGTGAAGGAGACCAACTCTGTTCTCTGTAGGCTCCTGGTGGGTGATCAGGCAACTTTGCTCTGTGCCTTAGTTTCCTTACATCTGAAGTAAATCCCTGAACAGAGGGTCTCAGACCCTCCAAGCACAGCTTGTATTTGGAACTGGGAAAGTCTGGGGCTCTTCCCAGAGCTCCTAATCAGTTTGATTATAGGCCCCAGAAGACAAGAAGTCTTAAGCACCTACGGGCCTCTGTCCATCTGACTTGTGGTACAGACAATGAGACCTGACAACAGACGAGAAGCAGGGACATTACAGAGCATGGGTCATCAGGAACTTTTTTTTTTTTTGGTCCTTTTGAGACAGGGTTTCACTGTGCAGTTCAGGCTGGACTTGAGCTCACTTTGTAGCCCAGGCTGGCCTTGAACTTGCAGTGATCCTCCTGCCTCAGCCTCCTGAGTGCTGGGGTGATCGGCATGTACCACCATGCCTAGCCCATCATGAATTTTTGAACTATCTCCCCCAAGCTGTATGAGCCTCACTTTAGGACCTTCCAGAGGAACCCCAAAACATGGGCTCCAGAAGGATGTGGAGGAGGATGTGCCCTCCAGAAAATAAGGAGGGCCTCATGGAAGGGGTGGCACAGATCTCAACCCCACCTTCTGGGGAGAAAAGGTTTGGGATTGTAATCAGGACCTTTGGGTCCCATCCTGCCCTATTGTGGTCTGTGTCTGAACTAGCCACTTGTCACATGGGCCCAGTGTCCAGAAGAAAAAAGGGAGATAACATTTCCCATGGCCCAAGGCTTCTTGGTTTCCTGCTGGAATATTTCCTCAACTGAAAAAAGTCTGACTCTTCTAATTGCCTTCTGTCCCATATCCTCCTCCTTTGCCTTGATCCTCATGTTCCATGGCTGATGTCTCAATTCTTGATGGTACAAATAACTGTTTAAAATAGTTTGACTAGAGGTGCACATTACAGAAAACTTAGGAAGCAATTAAAAAGTGTAAGAGGGCATTTACATATTCACCAAAGAAAAGATACAAAAAGAAAACACTAACTCATAGTAAGGTGCTCAGTACCATTAGCCATTACAAAAAAGCAAATTACCAACACAGTGAAACACCCACATCACGGCTAGAATTCCTGTACCAGGTTGGTGTGAGAGCCCACAGGACAGGACCTGGATCCCACTCACCGCTGAGCCTGTGACAACACCACCATCACTTTAGAACCGATTTGGAAGCTTCTTCTATATTTAAACACAGGACCCTGCATTTCTATTCATTGTTTATCTAAGAAAAATAAAAATATGTGGTTACAAGAAGCTTTATTCATAACAGTCCAAACTGGAAGCAACCCAAGAGTCCATTGATTTGTGAGTGGATCAGGAAACTGTGGATTTATTTGGTGGAATAATACTCAGCCACACGGAAAAAGCCACGGACAGGTGCACGTGTGTGAGGTCAGAAGCACAGGGAAAGTCAAAAACGCCACAGAACGAAGACTAGTGGAGGCCCAGGGCTGGCCTTGGCAGAGGGCTGACCCACAAAGGGCCAGAGGCCTCTGCCTGGCTCTAGCTGTCCTCCTTCTCGGCCCTCCCAGGTCTGCCTGGTCCATGTCTGCTGGAAGATGGAAAGGAAGCGGTGGTGACAGCCCAGTGCGCGGAGCTGCGACTTTAAACACCTAGCCCGAAGCCCTTATTGCCTCCGGCCTGCTTGGAACTCGGAGCGCCGTGGGCCACGCCCCCGTAATGCTGGGAGCCCCAACCAATCACGGCCACTCTCTTGGCTCCCACAGCTTGTAGCGGCCCCGAGTGCGCCTAGTGGGCAGCAGCAGATGAGTGGGGCGGACCATGGGAGGGGCCAAGTGCTCGGATCTCCAGGTGAGCGGCCCGCTTTGGACCCGCGAGCCAAAAGCTTGCCTGTTTGCTGCCTCCCTCACTGTCGTGGAATTCCTGGTTTGCGTTTGTATAAGTGAAGTCCAACCGGACAGTGGGGACTGTGTGCATGGATCCTGGGCGTGCGTGGTCGCCTTCCTCGTCCACCCTTCCGGGGGAGTGAAGGTTCGGGTTTCCCAGCCCTGCTTCTTTCGCCTTGGTCTGAGGCAGGATGTTTGCAGTCCCATCCTAGCCTGGGCAATTTAGCAACTTAGTGAGAACCGGTCTAAAATAAATCTTTTTTTTTTTTTTTTTTTAAGAGCTGGGTATATGGCTCAGTGCAAAGGATATGGATAGTATTCCCAGGTTTGTTTGTTTGTTTGTTTTTAGACAAGCAACCCCAAAAGAATATAAGTCTGCTTCCTGGGTTTTGAACAAGGGCCTAAGATCCAACAAAATTGAACTTGGTTACTGCCAGCAATACCTGGCTCCTTGGACACCACTGGCAGAAAGGATAGTAAGCTTGATGATTAGAGTGACTTAAAGGGACCCTGAAGTTAGCGACTAGAGCACCAGCCCCTGTATCCCAGCCAGATGGAGGGACTGCGCTGCTTTACCTGAGGCCCTGGGGAAGCCAGTAGATAGGGTTTATGGACTCAACCCTTTCTCCCAGGGAGTCAGAGGAGCCCCACCTGGGGGACAGAAAAGCCTGGGCACAGCTCAGCCCAAGTATAAGAGGAACATGGGACAGGGCCTATTCCAGAGACATCAGGTTCTCCCCACCCTTGCCCATAATAACCACAGACTATCCATGCCCAGGGTCAGCAGGGCTGGAGGCCACCTCCAGGCCCTGGCTCTTGGATTCCCATTCTCAGGAAGCCTAGAGCAGGGGGCTGAAGCACTGCCCTTCTGGTGGGCTGGGCTGGAGAACTCAGCTTTCCAGGGGATGGGCAGGTGGTTAAGTTGGGGCCTGACTGAAGGTCACCTGCTTTGCTGGACAACCTAGCTAGGTCTGGGTTCAGGGCATATGTGGGGGTCCTTGAGGGAAAAGGTTGACTAGATGTAAACCTGATAACTGTCCCTGAGTCCCAGGGTAGAGGACGGGATATGGGACACAAAGACAGGATTAGAATGTGCAGACCTAGGGCTCACATGAGCCCCAACTGTGGAGGATTAAGGCCTTGGTTCCTCATTTGGAAAGAAGCATTGGAATGGCACTCACGGGTTTTTTTTCTACCAGAGAAAGTGCCATTTTTACTCACACAAAACCCTCAGCAGGATTGTTCATAGCATGTTTATTCAGGATAGGCAGAAAGCAGAGATATCCCAGGTGTCCTCCAACAGCTGGGTGCAAACAAACTCGGGCACCAGTGCCTTGGAGCTCAAGCCCCTGCCTCACACAGCTTATGCCCTTCCATCAGGGACAGACAGCAAGAGCCAGGCACAGGGCCTCAGCCTGCAAGTGTTCATGGAAGTCCAGGACTCCGAGGATGCCAGAGGAAAAGGTGAATCTTGGGTCAGGCAGGAGCAGAAGCAGCAGGCCCAGGCACTGGGAGGAAGGCAGCAGGCTCCTCCTTGGCTGGCCAGTGGAAGCCAGTAGACTGGGCTCAGGAAGAATTCTGAATATGCTGCTTGATCCAAGGTACATAGGACTGAACACGAGCAAAGACACTGGGTACGATAGCCCAGCCACAGCGATAGCCCCAGCTGACCACACCCACCAAGGTCCAGGAACCCGACTTCTTGCAGACAAGTGGACCACCAGAGTCACCCTGGGGATGAAAGGAAATGATGAATGCTGGCCCTGAAGCAGGGATAATGAGGGTAGAAGGGGACAAGGCAGCATGGGACTCACATAGCAAGTCCCACGGCCCTTGCTGCCGGCACAGAGCATGTCATCCAGGATGAGCTTCCTGTCCTTAAAGTAGTGCCACGTGGCATTGTGGTATAACTCCTCACAAACTGAGTTCTTCACCACCTGCACACTTACCTCCTGAAGACGGTAGGGTGGAGGCAGCGATTCTGAAAATAGGGGAGAACAGGAGGTGGTAGATGTGCTGGTGGCATAGATGCCACTTGTTCCAAACCCCAGACAGCCTAGTCTTAGGGGCTGTGATGGCCATGGCCTGAAAGCACTTCCCACCTTATGCAGGTCACTTCTAGGACGGACCATTAGCTTCCTCTCCGAAAACAGTGTAGGGGACCCTAAAATGCAATGGCCCATGTTCTCCAATGGTCTTACAACACTGCCTATGAATCTCTCCACCTGCAGGTGGAAGGACTAGGGAAAGAAGGGAGGTGTATCTTCTGGTGTTTCCCAAATTTTTTTTAATTATTAAAAGTAAGTGGTAGGATGTCACCTTCCAAAGAACTGAATTCTGAACCCAAACTTGCCTCATTCTCAGCTTCTGAGGCTCTGGAGATAGCACAGTTAACACAATTAGCACAATTAAGATGGAATTCTTCAGTACCTCCCTCTTTCCTTTCTGGACCTATTCTGCTCCATTCACAGTACTTGTCCCATGGCAAGTTTGGTCCCATGATTCCTATGCTTCCCAGCATAGATCAATACATACCATACCCAAAGACAGTGCCCCACCCTGTCACCCAGCACTGATTCTTCTTTGATTCCACGATATTGAACGAAGGGAGCTTGATGGGCTTGACATTAGCAGAGCAATCTGCTGGTTCTGCCAGTTTCAGAAGTACCACATCCACACCAAGATGAAAAGAAACGAAGTCTGGGTGGAAAATTATCTGGCTCACATTCAAGAGCTTCTGGTCACCATAGAGGTATATGTCCCCAGCCAGGATGCGGTAGGTTGACGGGTCAGCATTTCTACTGTGGTCAGAAAGAAGCCCCAACAACAGTTCATTGTAGGATCCCCACTGAGCACCAAGGGGAAAGTTCAGAACTTCTGAGTAGAAACATGTGGAGTCAGAAATTGGGTCTCCAGTCCCCAAGTCCTCACCCACACCCCCTCCATATACCCCACATCCCACCCAGAACTGGACAGCAGGAGCAGTACTCACTGGTGAATGCAGTGGGCAGCAGTCAGCACCCACTGTGGGTGGATGAGGGAGCCACCACATCTGTGCACCCAGGCGGATGAGTAGTAGCTGTACATCTTCAGGCTGACCTGCCAGGGCCATTTCCCCAGGGGGGCATTGTGTCCCCCCAC